GTCCAGAGAGATAAAGTCCTTGTTTTAAGTAGGTGTCCAGAGAGATAAAGTCCTTGTTTTATGTAGGTGTCCAGAGAGATAAAGTCCTTGTTTTACGTAAGTGTCCAGAGAGATAAAGTCCTTGTTTTAAGTAGGTGTCCAGAGAGATAAAGTCCTTGTTTTAAGTAGGTGTCCAGAGAGATATTGTCCTTGTTTTACGTAGGTGTCCAGAGAGATAAAGTCCCTGTTTTAAGTAGGTGTCCAGAGAGATAAAGTCCTTGTTTTACGTAAGTGTCCAGGGAGATAAAGTCCTTGTTTTACGTAAGTGTCCAGAGAGATAAAGTCCTTGTTTTACGTAAGTGTCCAGAGAGATAACGTCCTTGTTTTACGTAAGTGTCCAGGGAGATAAAGTCCTTGTTTTACGTAAGTGTCCAGAGAGATATTGTCCTTGTTTTAAGTAGGTGTCCAGAGAGATAAAGTCCTTGTTTTACGTAAGTGTCCAGGGAGATAAAGTCCTTGTTTTACGTAAGTGTCCAGAGAGATAAAGTCCTTGTTTTACGTAAGTGTCCAGAGAGATATTGTCCTTGTTTTAAGTAGGTGTCCAGAGAGATAAAGTCCTTGTTTTACGTAGGTGTCCAGAGAGATAAAGTCCTTGTTTTAAGTAGGTGTCCAGAGAGATAAAGTCCTTGTTTTAAGTAGGTGTCCAGAGAGATAAAGACCTTGTTTTACGGAGGTGTCCAGAGAGATAAAGGCCTTGTTTTACGTAAGTGTCCAGAAAGATAAAGTCATTTTTTACGGAAGTGTCCAGAGAGATAAACTCATTGTTTTAAGTTAGTGTCCAGAAAGATAACGTCCTTGTTTTAAGTAGGTGTCCAGAGAGATAAAGTCCCTGTTTTAAGTAGGTGTCCAGAGAGATAAAGTCCTTGTTTTACGTAAGTGTCCAGAGAGATAAAGACCTTGTTTTAAGTAGGTGTCCAGAGAGATGAAGTCCTTGTTTAAGTAGATGTCCAGAGAGATAAAGTCCTTGCTTTACGGAAGTGTCCAGAAAGATAAAGTCATTTTTTACGGAAGTGTCCAGAGAGATAAACTCATTGTTTTAAGTTAGTGTCCAGAGAGATAACGTCCTTGTTTTAAGTAGGTGTCCAGAGAGATAAAGTCCTTGTTTTAAGTAGGTGTCCAGAGAGATAAAGTCCTTGTTTTAAGTAGGTGTCCAGAGAGATAAAGTCCTTGTTTTAAGTAAGTGTCCAGAGAGATAAAGTCCTTGTTTTAAGTAGGTGTCCAGAGAGATAAAGTCCTTGTTTTAAGTTAGTGTCCAGAGAGATAACGTCCTTGTTTTAAGTAGGTGTCCAGAGAGATAAAGTCCTTGTTTTAAGTAGGTGTCCAGAGAGATAAAGTCCTTGTTTTAAGTAGGTGTCCAGAGAGATAAAGTCCTTGTTTTAAGTAGGTGTCCAGAGAGATAAAGTCCTTGTTTTAAGTAGGTGTCCAGAGAGATAAAGCCCTTGTTTTAAGTAGGTGTCCAGAGAGATAAAGTCCTTGTTTTAAGTAAGTGTCCAGAGAGATAAAGTCCTTGTTTTAAGTAGGTGTCCAGAGAGATAAAGTCCTTGTTTTAAGTAGGTGTCCAGGGAGTCAGGCTGTTGAAATTTTAATCAATGATCTGTTTTATGTCGATATATTCACCTCATTAGGAGTTTTCTTTTGTCATTGTGTGATATAATATTGGACTTGTTTGATGCTTGTTAGTATAATGGTTTAGTACTTGTATTGTTAACCTCTCTTTATTTTGGACTCTGATATTTGGTTTAGTCCCCGAGATAGACTTTAACCTGCAGGCCACGTTTTAATTCATTCGAAAAGTAATACCGTTCAGAAAAGTAGTACCGTACCGCTCAGAAAAGAAGTACCGTTCAGAAAAGTAATACCGTACAGCTCAGAAAAGTAGTACCGTACCGCTCAGAAAAGTAGTATCGTGATTATCTCTTGTTTGTTTTTGTACAGTTTTCGACTGATCAAGAAGCAGAAGAAGCATTCCTTCTGAAACACCTTGTCTTATTCCTGCACTTTATCAAACACCTTGTCTTATTCCTCCGCTTAATCAAACACCTTGTCTTATTCCAGCACTTTATCAAACACCTTGTCTTATTCCAGCACTTTATCAAACACCTTGTCTCATTCCAGCACTTTATCAAACACCTTGTCTTATTCCAGCACTTTATCAAACACCTTGTCTTATTCCTACACTTTATCAAACACCTTGTCTTATTCCAGCACTTTATCAAACACCTTGTCTTATTCCAGCACTTTATCAAACACCTTGTCTTATTCCAGCACTTTATCAAACACCTTGTCTTATTCCTACACTTTATCAAACACCTTGTCTTATTCCAGCACTTTATCAAACACCTTGTCTTATTCCAGCACTTTATCAAACACCTTGTCTTATTCCAGCACTTTATCAATAATTTCTATGTAAACTGATTTCGTTAGCATGTCGGTACTTTCTTATTGTGTATGGATAATCGACGTCAGGGTGATTTATCCATAAAACTTATGATGTATAAACAGATATCAACTGGACGCTGGTCATTACACTTCTTTGTCCAGATATTTCTTCTCCCCCCGGGCCGACTATGACGTCATTCCGCTCTATATCCCTCACATTTCCCGTGGGAGAATCAATCACGAATTTAAATCAATGACGATTATTTGTACAAAACAAACGGTAGATGACAATCATGCTGATTCAGTTACCAATATCAGAGTCTGTATTTAAAGTCGTTTCTATACCACTGTTCTCAAAATCATGTATTCGTGTCAAAGACTTTCGTGAAACATAAATAGACTGATCTTACTGACTCGACACTGACTATAATTTCTGTTCAGTGGGCAATGGCTTCGTGGAGATTTAAAAAACTGTTGATTTTCCATTCACAAATTCGAACTGTTGGTTTCTGTAAAGATACTGCTTTCATGATATTCTATTAATCTAGCTGGAATATGTTTTTCTATTGTTTTAGATATAACACCGATAAGTCTGACTGGCCGATAGTTTCCTGTATTTGTACAATGCTATCATCTACCCGTTTTTCTAAGCTAAAGATGACTTCCCGCACGTTAGCGATTGGTGTATTCTCATATCATACGTATCTATAACGCATTTACACGAATATGTCGTCATAGATTTAGATCGTCTAAATGAAAGTCGTTAATTGCATATTGTCCGGTTATATCACTTCGTTAAATCATAACATATTGTACTCGACTGAAGTTTTACAAAGTAAAAAAATAGATGTAAAAACTGCATAGTTTGAGTTTGATTATGTTATACCTAGTACAAATATATATCGTTCTTACAAGCAATTTGTATCCAACTAGTCCGTATAAATATCCGTAATCCGAATGTTGTTCGTCGAAAACATAGCGTTTGGTATTTTCGTTCGATACCATGACTTATGCAGAAGATGTATGATCATATTCTAGATAATGATAGTCTTACTACCCTAACTCACGGTGTTGAGGTATAGCATTTCATTCCATAATCACAGCCACACATAAGTATGTCTATAGTGTCTCTTGTGATGGTACACTCTCTTGTGGGTAATGAGCGTTCATTATTTCTAGCATGACCAATATCCCTTCCAGCAGACAATAGGAGATCGATTGGAAGTAGCCTTTAAGATTAAAAAGAACATTTGGTCGTATTCTACATTCTCCGGGCGTACCATTCCGAAACATTTGGTGGTATTCCACATTCACTGGGCGTACCATTCCGAAACATTTTGTCGTATTCTACATTTTCCGTGCGTACCATTCCGGGACATTTGGTCGTATTCTCCGGTCTCCAGACGTACCATTCCGGGACATTTGGTCGTATTCTCCATTCTCCGGTCGTACCATTTCGGACATTTCGGTGTATTCTCCATTCTCCGGGCGTACCATTCCGGTACATTTGGTCATATTCTCCATTATCCGGGCGTACCATTCCGGTACATTTGGTCGTATTCTCCGTTATCCGGACGACCATTCCATTTCGGTGTATTCTCCATTCTCCGACATTTTTGGTCGTATTCTCCATTATCCGGGCGTACCATTCCGGTACATTTGTCTCCAGACGTACCATTCCGGTACATTTGGTTGTATTCTCCATTCTCCGGGCGTACCATTCCGGGACATTTGGTCGTATTCTCCATTATCCGGGCGTACCATTCCGGGACATTTGGTCGTATTCTCCATTCTCCGGTCGTACCATTTCGGACATTTCGGTGTATTCTCCATTATCCGGGCGTACCATTCCGGTACATTTGGTCGTATTCTCCATTATCCGGACGTACCATTCCGGGACATTTGGTTGTATTCTCCATTCTCCGGGCGTACCATTCCGGGACATTTGGTCGTATTCTCCATTATCCGGGCGTACCATTCCGGGACATTTGGTCGTATTCTCCATTATCCGGACGTACCATTCCGGTACATTTGGTTGTATTCTCCATTCTCCGGGCGTACCATTCCTTAACCCCAGGTCTTATATAGCGTCTATTGTACTCAAATTATTTGATGTCTCCTGCTGGGTATTACGATGGTAAATGATAAAAAGCCTGCCCCATCTATCCCAATTTTGTACTGTAAATAAATAAATAAAACATCCGTGTTCAGTAATTTCATTTCTATAAATCTGACCTTACAGATACTTTTGATGATAATTAACAAGTAAGAATTAAATATAAAGAATGTCTAATAGCGACAACGATATAGGTTTTAAATGTCGCATTCACTGGTAGTATTAAGAATTGTTCATTCGGCACGACAGAAAGGTAACCAGACATTAATTACTGCCTTGAAGTTATATAGCTTTATAGTATTATAGTATATAATTGATGTGTTTCATTTCATCGAATCCTAGACGATAAATTATGTAATATAGAGGAAGCAAATAAGATGCTATTTATATATACACTCTCCCCAGTAAGCTAACTATCGAGGACGTCACAGGAAAAATGTTAGAAAAAGGAATAACGTTGTTTAGTATGGACAAGTAAATGACACTATACAGGCGAGGCTTTGTCGTGTTACGCTGAACATCTAACACAACATGTGTGATTTAATGACTGATGGAATTGGGGCTAGTGAAGTTATAACTGCAGACATACCTGATACCAGCAGTGCGATAAACGTAAGCTTATTTATAGTTACCATTCTGATGAAATTTTCGAATTTAGAATTTCAGATTTTTATTTTATTTTACAGAAGACCCAACGAATTTCATGTGAAATGAAAATCCCTGTATGTTCCTATTTCTAGTTTTTTATGGTGTTAATTACATGGACTAAAATATATATGATAAATAAGTTGGTTACATTCCCTAGTCAACTGATACTGTCAAAAATTACATAGTGTTGTATTGTAAAGAAGAAGATTAAAGAATTACGTAAGGACCACAACTTTTGTCCCACTGATTGACACTTCTGTTGTAACTTACATCAACAATAATGACTAAGTGGTTAATGATATCGACAGTTTGAATAGTTTCTATAAAATGTTATCTATTTCTGTATTCTTTATCTTAACTCTGAGTTCTTAAGTAGCATGGTTCTATTGCCCTCGGTACGTGTATATAAACACTTGGCAAATTTAATCTTTGCTTTGTGTCTGTTTGTTTAATATTGATTTGATTACAATTAAGGGGAGCTGACTCTTAAAACTGAAAAAAAATAAAAACATGTTTTTGTAAAACAGTTTAAATTGTTGCAAGAAAGATTCAAAATTAGGACACGTTTAAAAGATAGCAATCGGCTGTATCATTCGGAATCTGACCGGTCATCGTCCAGCCACCGTCCAGTCACCGTCAAGGCACCGTCCCGGCATCGTCCAGCCACCGTCCAGTCACCGTCCAGCCACCGTCCAGTCACCGTCCAGCCGCCGTCCAGTCACCGTCCAGCCACCGTCCAGGCATCGTCCAGCCGCCGTCCAGCCGCCGTCCAGTCACCGTCCAGCCACCGTCCAGGCACCGTCCAGCCGCCGTCCAGCCACCGTCGAGCCACCGTCCAGGCACCGTCCAGCCACCGGTCGGCCTGACAAAAAGTGGATATTTAGTCGTAATTCTAAACAAGTATAAACTAAACTGACTAATTCGATGTTATATTCAGAATACTGGAAATATCTGTATCATTAAGTAATATAAATCCTAACCTGAACGGTCCGTCCCTCGTCACAGTTAGCGCATCATTAATAATGTTACCGCGTCAGAGCTGTGTAATAATCTATACCCTAGGCGATATTGTTGCGTAAATTAAGAACTTTAATAATTTTTGTACATAAAATACCGGTTGTAACACGTGAGGTCACATTAAGTACATTACTTACGCATAATTAATAAGCTTCCTAACAGATCATCACAGTCTTGGCTTTTCTATTCATACACATGGTATATAAACGATATGGCCGAGTTTGAAATTGCTGGCTTAGGCGTTCATGAAAATAGAACTGTGTTCATTCCAGATACAAGCAATGAGACATTGGTGAGTTTATAAACAGAATTTAGTATACTTTCTTTTATTTAGTATTACAGTTTCCTGGTCAAGTGCGTGTTATTGTAAGTGTATTTATATATGTGTTATATATAATGTATACAAAACCACGAAAATATATACAACCCAAAATAGGACTTGAAATAGATTTGCGCTAAAACTAATATACGAAACTGTTATATGAAATTATTTCAAAATCAATTTGTTAAACACAATTTATTGACATTGTCACGATTCAAGTCAATACTGATAAACGTACATATGGAATGCTATATATTTGCAGATAACCTGTTTGTTTGTCAGATGCTGTAATTGGTATTTGTTTTGGGAAAGGGTTTTAATAATGTTGTAATAACTTGTGTCCAATTCTACTGCTGACATTAATGGAAAAATAAACACGTGTGAATCGGTGTGAGAAATTAGGGTTAGAATTCGAACAACAGAAGAGTTTTCCTGTAGAAACTGATAACGATCTGTTAACATGTTTCTGTCAACAAACAATTAACATATGGGTATGAAATAGGTGACACATTCATCGTACTCACAAATACAAAACAACGCTACTGGTTGATATTAATTATTTTTGCTGGTTTGGATTCAAGTGCGCATCAATTCTTACAATGGAGGAGAGTAGTTAATCGCAGTACGCGGAGAAAACCCAAATTGTTAGGCAGGTGACCCCAACATGTCCGGTCGGGGAACTGAATCCGGGTCACTTAGAGGAAAAGCGTGTACGTCTTCACATCTCCAACCGATCACCATCGTTACAAAGGTATCAACGAGAAGTCGTGCTGTAACATACCGTATTCTGTATACGGTTTTGTAGATAGAGACAGTCACGTGATACATTGGTTTAACAAGGAAGACATTTATCTGTTCGCATCATTGCTACACCATTAACACTAACGACACGATTCACCGTATACCTGTTGTCATGGACATGCCAGACGGATTATACGGTGGCGCCCGTTGTTCTGGTTACGACACTGTAGATGCTAAGTATAAGCTATATCAAGTAAGTGTTGATAAGTACTGCTTCAAAACCACTGTCGATAAGTACTGATTCAAAAACCATTGTTGATAAGTACTGCTTCAATAACAATGTTGATAAGTACTGCTTCAAAACCACTGTTGATAAGTACTGATTCAAAAACCACTGTTGATAAGTACTGATTCAAAACCACTGTTGATAAGTACTGATTCAAAAATAATGTTGATATGTACTGCTTCAACAAGAATGTTGATAAGTACTGCTTCAATAACAATGTTGATAAGTACTGCTTCAAAAACCATTGTTGATAAGTACTGCTTCAAAACCACTGTTGATAAGTACTGCTTCAAAACCACTGTTGATAAGTACTGCTTCAAAAATAATGTTGATAAGTACTACTTCAAAACCACTGTTGATAAGTACTGCTTCAAAACCACTGTTGATAAGTACTGCTTCAAAACCACTGTTGATAAGTACTGCTTCAAAACCACTGTTGATAAGTACTGCTTCAAAAACCATTGTTGATAAGTACTGCTTCAAAACCACTGTTGATAAGTACTGCTTCAAAAACCATTGTTGATAAGTACTGCTTCAAAACCACTGTTGATAAGTACTGATTCAAAACCACTGTTGATAAGTACTGCTTCAAAACCACTGTTGATAAGTACTGCTTCAAAAACCATTGTTGATAAGTACTGCTTCAAAACCACTGTTGATAAGTACTGATTCAAAACCACTGTTGATAAGTACTGATTCAAAACCACTGTTGATAAGTACTGATTCAAAACCACTGTCGATAAGTACTGATTCAAAACCACTGTCGATAAGTACTGATTCAAAACCACTGTCGATAAGTACTGATTCAAAACCACTGTTGATAAGTACTGATTCAAAACCACTGTTGATAAGTACTGCTTCAAAACCACTGTTGATAAGTACTGCTTCAAAACCACTGTTGATAAGTACTGATTCAAAACCACTGTTGATAAGTACTGCTTCAAAACCACTGTTGATAAGTACTGATTCAAAACCACTGTTGATAAGTACTGCTTCAAAACCACTGTTGATAAGTACTGCTTCAAAACCACTGTTGATAAGTACTGATTCAAAACCACTGTTGATAAGTACTGCTTCAAAAACCACTGTTGATAAGTACTGATTCAAAACCACTGTTGATAAGTACTGATTCAAAACCACTGTTGATAAGTACTGATTCAAAACCACTGTTGATAAGTACTGCTTCAAAACCACTGTTGATAAGTACTGCTTCAAAACCACTGTTGATAAGTACTGATTCAAAAATAATGTTGATATGTACTGCTTCAACAAGAATGTTGATAAGTACTGCTTCAATAACAATGTTGATAAGTACTGCTTCAATAACAATGTTGATAAGTACTGCTTCAACAACAATGTTGATAAGTACTGCTTCAACAAGAATGTTGATAAGTACTGCTTCAACAACAATGTTGATAAGTACTGCTTCAACAAGAATGTTGATAAGTACTGCTTCAAAACCACTACGCCTACCTGTTCTCCTGTGTCTAGAGAAGGCTAAATTTGGCCTCGTTATTCATGACAAAACATCTGTGACCTTGAGTTTAATATTTTCTAGATCGCCACTTTCGGTTTGTAGAGCTACACCAAATGACTGACGAAGAAAAGACAAACAAATGAACACAATATGTAATGAGATGTAGATATCAAAGGCGATTTGTATCACCTGGTGTTATTCAAATAGCTATATAATGGAAACTATTTTGATTGGGTAAATTTGTCTTATGTTATCGGAATGTAAAAATTTCAAAAAAGTACACGAAAGTCAAGTTAAGACAAATCTGCTATTTAGCCTGCTGTCATTATTTACACAGTATTAGTTGGAAACGTGGAGTTTCACAATGGTGTTTCGGTTTCCTCATACTGCTAGCTTCCATCCGCGCTAACATATGATTAATATAAGCTGAAAGCTTGTTTCGCAATTGTTGTAAGATAAATAAAGATTATATTAATTGCAAAGCCAGTATATAATCAAATCGTATTTACACATGTACGTGTAACTGATATAATTTAATTATGTATTGTTAGATTTAACATTTGTGGCCAAAACTGATCTGACAACAGGCGTCATCAAATTTACAATATTAAGTGGAAGACTTCAGCTGTGTCAGGAAATACCAAGTAGTGTTACATCCGGACTTAGCTAAACTGCTTTACGATATTGTTTAGTGATCATTGTACGAGTCACGAATTTAACCAAACGATTCCTGGTTGGAGAGATGAATACTTTATGTTTACAGTGTTCAGTGCTTTCTGAAGCAATGATGTATGTACGTGTAATCTTCTCAATGATTTAAAAAAATGTTGTCATTGTACTTACATCGTACTCATGTGTTAATAACGGGGCAACTGAACAAAATCGCGCTAAACATAAAAAAGTGAATACTTTAATTATGGGGCTAGCCCAACTCCCCATCTAGATTCTGATGTTTCTTTCCAACAATTTGAATCTTCATCAGTCGCCTTCTAGGCTTCAAAATGTAGGCCCTTAGCGTCACTGATGAGTCCTAGAAGGACGAAATAGCTGTATGATACAGTTTAATTCATTGTTTGTCTCTACTGTATCTAACTCTTAATTTGCCTTAAACTGTTTTATTCACTTTTACAGATTTACATTTCCACAACCATCATTTGGTACGACTCTCCATTAAACTAAATTTAATTATCATAATTTACAGTCATGTTCTTAACCTTGAGCAACTTGTTCTATGTTTATCTTGTTCATATTTTGTAAATGTTTCATCTATTGTAATTTGAACAAATATGTCGGCTCTCTTGCTCGTCATCACGACTTTTTTCAGACGTAACTGTTTGGGTTATCATTAATTTTGATTTCGCGTATTTGTGTATGGTTTGTTAATATATAGATATATATATAGACTTGAACTCTAATGTGATCTGTGACGCTGTTAATTAGGTGGACCCTGGAACAGATGGACAGCCTCAACGCTCTGAGCTGAGAGTGAAACATGCACAACAGGATTCTCCAGAGGGGGACTCGTTAGGAGGGACTCTCGTTACATACACACATAAACAAGGCGATTTCATACATCGATTTGAGGAATTTGAATTATACGAACAATCTCTTCTGCGAGACAGCCTTAAAGTGAGGTAATTGAAATATTTGTTCAGGATTCTACATGTGTATGCATTATTAAACAATTTCGGGTTTTTATTCCTGTGGTAGCATATCACGAAATCTGTCGTCAAAAGAAGCGTACTAGTATCTGAAAACAGTCCTGTAATTTCTCAGGTAAACAAAAGTAATTAATGTAGAACGGAAACAGCTGTGAGCTTTCTGTACCATACAGACGACATTCTGAACTCAGGCTACAGTGATACTTTAATCTGGGTATAATAGACTCTTTATTATCCTTTATATTACAACTTAAGAACTACTTCTGATTTCTCGTTTAAACGTATAATCAACACGTAACTCTCCTTGTTAATGACTTGTGAATTAAAATTAGAAACTTTGCAATCGAATTAAGCTTTTTCTTTATGTCCTCTTAATAATTGTTTTCTGTATCTTTTTTCAGTGAGAAAATTGGAATATATTTACTGAAACTATATATATCAGACTGATTCCTATCCTGTTTCGATGGTATTTCCGTTGTTGTTTCTTTCAAAACATAAATACTTTATTTCTTGTCATCATCATTACTATTAATCAATAGATCCTACTTAATTTATGTGGAAAAAAATGATTGTTTATGATATACTATAGAATAAAATGTAGCTAACGACATTCCTAAACAATGCAGACAAAATGACCAGCTGGTCATAATGGATGAAATCATGGTGAACAATCTGGATCATCAAGCTGTTGTGAATCTGTTTCTCAACTTAAAGATTGGGCTCGAGCATGTTATGGTAAGTCATTTTCGTAAATCAATACCACCATCCTAATAAGATAATCAGTTAATATATTGATCATTCCTCGTGTACATTTCATGAGAAATATTTGCTATAAAATATTTCCTGTCTCAGCCACGGAAAAACGAAAAGTAAAACAGATACAAAAAAATAACGACAACGTCATACCAAGCTAAAACCATTGACTCAATTTGCTCAATTGTAATTAGTATGAAAAAATATTCCAGTCCGAAAGTGTAGTATTTAGCTATTCAAACTTTTATTTCAATAAATCTACGAAACAGTAATTAAACAAAATATGATATTGCGAAAACTTAGCCTTATCAACGACTGTTTGCCTCGACAGTACAAGGAAATAATATTTTGTTGCAAAGCATACGTCAGTGAGTATATCATTACTTTTCCGCTGAATGATTTGAAATCCATGGGTAGTTGTACAGATCATTATTGTCCTGAAATATGCTATTTGTTTACTGTTTACACTTGTATCGATGGCTGAATACAATGTTAAGTATTATGTTGTAGGTGGTTGGGAATTATCAGATGTCTAGTGACACCCTTCGGCAGATAACATTCTCATTGTACGGTTTCATTAAAGGTCAGTAGCTCTTCAAAACAGTAGCTGTTTTAGTCATCCTGTATACTTACCTACGTACCACAATATTATTAATTTATTACATAAATACATTTGTACTGCCCAACGGTGTTATTGTTAACGGTAGGCTGGTGAGCTGTTATACATAGGTTTTAGTGTATAACTTGCAAGCATTTAGTCGCTTACAACACGATGGAAAGTTCTAATTCAATTCCTGATTTTATATCATTTGTCATTCTTTTTTAATCTATTTGCAATCAGAAATATGCTGCACGAAAATTCAGGTTCAGTTCGGCAGTAAGAAACATTAGTTAGACCACGTGCATGCTAGGATATCATTACACGTTCGGGAATTAGTAATAAGTAACAATAGTGGTGCTATTACGGCGACGAAACGTCTTTAATTTAGACAAAAATATGTTATTTTGGTAACCTTAGGTCAGCTGTATAATTAATAGTATCCATTTGCAATCAAACAGAGGAACCAAAGAAAGAGGAAGAGAACGTGAAAATTCTCCACGTAGAGAATCACAGGGAAGCATCAATGTCTATGAAAACAGAAACCGAAGATGAGATTTCCATTTCACTGACGGCCGAACCACATTTGTATCTTTATAAAGACCTGTCATTTAATACGACCGGCTGTGTTGAGAAAGAAGTATCAGGTAAGGTGATCTCAAGAAAGTTATTTAACACGACCGGGTCTGTTGAGACAGAAACATCAGGTATGGTGAACTCAAAAAAGGTATTTGACACGACCGGGTCTGTTGAGACAGAAACATCAGGTATGGTGAACTCAAGAAAGGTATTTGACACGACCGGGTCTATTTTTACATGTAGTGACCAGGATCAAAACAACAAAAGAGAGGATGCCCTATCGGGGACAATTACTAATGCAGTTGGCGTTCCAGAAGTTCGGAATGACTTCTGTGGGAATTGAGATTTTACAGAAAAACACTTCATTTAAATTGGGTATCCTTATTTTTCTTCGCAAAAATACGTAAAATTAATTTATTGATACAGTTTTATATGCATCCTTCATTTGATCATCTGCATATCTTTGTATCGCCATTTCTAACATGTTATATTGTCGTTTTTTATTAAATTTGCGGGTTTTAGTATATTTTTGTTAAACATTATATACGTACGGAACATACAGAGCGTACCAGTTAATCGATACAGTTTCATTCCTCATTTGATATGTGTCTTTTTGTGTCATTTGTTTCTCTTTTACGTATGTTTTATAGCTCATTTCAAAAGACAGCGGTCATACACTTTTGTTGGGTTCGATGTTGTGCCAATCACAACATTTCAACAAAAGGATACCGGGTTTCTTGCTATTGACGAGAACGGCACGGTGGTATGTATACAATATATGCATTAGATATTTTAGGAAGTAGTGTTTACGGCTAAATACATTTTTTTTTCAAAATTAGCATAGTAAACTCATCATAGTAAACTCATCATAGTATACTCATCATAGTAAACTCACATAGTAAACTCATCATAGGAAACTCATCATGGTAAACACATCATGGTAAACTCATCATAGTAAACTCATATAGTAAACTCATCATAGTATACTCATCATAGTAAACTCATATAGTATACTCATCATAGTAAACTCATATAGTAAACTCATCATAGGAAACTCATCATAGTAAACTCATAGTAAACTCATCATAGTAAACTCATCATAGTATACTCATCATAGTATACTCATCATAGTAGACTCATCATAGTAAACTCATAGTAAACTCATCATAGTAAACTCATTATAGTATACTCATCATAGTAAACTCATCATAGTAGACTCATCATAGTAAACTCAAATAGTAAACTCATCATAGTATACTCATCATCATCATAGTAAACTCATCATAGTAAACTCATTATAGTATACTCATCATAGTAAACTCATCATAGTAGACTCATCATAGTAGACTCATATAGTAAACTCATCATAGTAAACTCATAGTAAACTCATCATAGTAAACTCATCATAGTATACTCATCATAGAAGACCCATATAGTAAACTCATCATAATAAACTCATATAGTAAACACATCATTGTAAACTCATATAGTTAACTCACATAGTATACTCATCTTAGTAAACTCATTATAGTTAAATCATATAGTAAACTCATCAAAGTAAACTCATCATAGTATACTCATATAGTAAACTCATATAGTAAACCCATCATAGTAAACTCATATAGTAAACACATCCTAGTAAACTCATCATAATAAACTCATATAGTAGTATACTCATATAGTATACTCATCATAGTAAACTCATAGGAAACTCATCATAGTTAACTCATCATAGTAAACTCATCATAGTAAACGCATATAGTAAACTCATCATAGTAAACTCATAGTAAACTAATCATAGTATACTCATCTTAGTAAACTCATCATAGTATACTCATCATAGTAGACTCATATAGTAAACTCATCATAGTAAACTCATCATAGTATACTCATCATAGTAGACTCATATAGTAAACTCACCCTAGTAAACTCATATAGTAAACTCATCATAGTAAACTAATCATAGTAAACTCATATAGTAAACTCATCATAGGAAACTCATCGTGGTAAACTCATCATGGTAAACACATCATGGTAAACTCATCATGGTAAATTCATATAGTAAACTCATCATAGTAAACTAATCATAGTAAACTCATATAGTAAACTCATCATAGGAAACTCATATAGTAAACTCATCATAGGAAACTCATATAGTTAACTCATAGTAAACTCATCGTAGTAAACTCATATAGTAAACTCACCCTAGTAAACTCATTATAGTATACTCATCATAGTAAACTCGCATTATAAACTCATCATAGGAAACTCATCATAGTAAACTCATATAGTAAACTCATCATAGGAAACTCATCATAGTAAACTCATATAGTAAACTCATCATAGGAAACTCATCATAGTAAACTCATATAGTAAACTCATCATAGGGAACTCATCATAGTTAACTCATCATAGTAAACTCATCATTTGTAGGTATGCTATTTCATTCGGCCACATCTTTCCAACATTTAATCAAATGTTTTCATGATGAATAAAATTTTAAAATTAATATTTCTAGGAAAATACAATATCGATGGTAATGACAAGCAACGATTAAGAAAGTAACATCTGCATTATGCCTAATACTGAAATTCTTTCAAAATAAATCTTGCTTTTATCCTCACGAGAAAAACGTGATAAATTGTCTATTTTATTTGGTTCATTCACAACTTACTTCAAAATATTGTTTTATCATACTGATAGGAACAACTTCCGAAACCCAATCCAAATGCCCACTTCGTTGCCAACTATAATGACTGGAACACCTGGTATATTAAATCAAGACAGAATGGTAACTATTGTTTGTGGAGAGATATTTCGTGTATTGCAACAATAAGATACTTAGTTTATTCAATATTATCAACAGAAGGAACAATTGCCATGCATCACTTCTTTTTGCCTAAATTATAAAAATCCGAACATCGGTTTGCAACAATATTTGGACAAATGGTTACATTGTGTAAGAAAATTTATAATCTTGTAATGGTGCAGTTTAAGGGTATATGCTATCGGGTATAGATGGACATTTTTCTTGCATCTGTTTGCAGCGCAACCTGAATTTAAAAAAAAAGAAAGAAATTTGAATTACTGCTTAATACTCTGGCTTGGAAAATTTACAATCTTATGAATTGTGTAGTATTGATAAAAAAGTTAACTGGTATCCATTTGATGTGTTTTTCTTGATAGTTTGTTTAAAATGGCCTGTATAGTTCAGAATATTTTCACGGGTCAAACTTTTCGTTAATGCATCGCGAAAATATCATCATCGCGAAAATATCAACGCCGCGAAAATAATCAGCTATACGGTATTTCCTGAATACCGAATTTAAAGCAGATCATGATAAGTTGGAGGCTTTGTTCACTTTGTATACAGCTGTGATGTGATTATTTTTCTGTTTTCATTTGTAGGGAAGTTCCTTGGTATGGAGAACGGACGACTATGTTCTATACGTACCGATCAGCATGGCCTTTTTCTACTTAACACTATCGGCTCCAACCGCTGATAATAGAGACTGAGCCATGTGTCCAAGAAAGCGACACAATCGAATACTGAACGCTTGTGTTTGATACAAATTAGAATCACTGGAATATAACCTGTACATATATTAAAGATAACAGTCAACATTTGAACCTTCATTGTGTTGAAAAAGCTGCAATGCTGTGACGTGGAAGCGCTGCAACACTGTCAGTAAAATCATCGTTGTCATCTGTTTATTTTATTCATCTACATTCTACCTTGTATATCAAAGGACACGTTTGCTTGCTTTCCTTCATATTTCAATCAATGAGTATCTTATCAATTAAGTTGAAAGCAGTGCTTTTTGTTTAAAGTGGATTTCGTCGTGCAGAATTGAAGTTAGTTTTGTCTTTGTTAGTAATGATCTGAGACTAATATACATAGAAAACATTCATGTCGCAATATAATGTTATACTGTGATCCAAATAAACATTTCTATAAGCGTTAATGTAGTAATGTCGTTAATATTTGTAACATCACTTGGCTTAATTGGCTAAAAGTGCAATGTTGTGATTCAAGGGTTTCAAACGGGGTGTGTAAAGCCTTCATTGACCGCTTTGAAAATGTGATGTGGATTTTTATGCTGGCTGTTTATAAGAAAAGGTTAGTGAAAGTTTGACATGCCTTTACCTATACAACATGAAAAATTTAGGTAGAACAGGAACACAGTAGAAATCAATGTTTACAAGATATCGGTGTTTTTCATTAGTTACATTATCTTAACATAGCATATTTGTAAACATGGCGACGTCATAGCAATTTTATTCCATTTTATTGATTCATTAAGAATCTGAATGAAACAATGTAACACTGCCTGGCTTCAGAAATGTGCTCTTAACTGTTAAATCACCTCTTGTTAAAAGTCGATCGCGAGAGTGACAACAAAAGGCAGAAAAATGAATGTGAGCATTTCAACTATCAAATGGATTATCCAACCTCTGGTGTACAAACTGTTCAACTTAACATTTAAATTAATGTTTCTTATTGACTTCTGTTCATGCAGGATAAAATGTAGAAATATTTATGGAATTGGCTGTGGGTTGTTCGAGGTAATGAGGATAATAGTGTAATTCACACTGTAAAAAACCCAATCAAATACCAACGTGTCAACATAAGCATAATTCAAATTCAATAAAACTAGAGCAAAGAAAAACAAAAATAAATTTACACGGAGATTTATGACAAATGTACAATATGAATAAGACACATAAGTTTCAGGATAAGAAACATCTACTGTTTCATTGAAGTTATTTGAGAGTAAGGCCGAACATTAATGAAATCATCCTTTTCATGATAATACGAAATCTAATGCTTTGTGTTACAGAACGGAATATCTTATTTTCTTCTTGAATTAAGGAATCACACAATATAATTCTAAATAAAAAGCGGTACATTGATGGATCAACTGGCCTTTTGAAGTTATGGAAAACATTAAAATGTAAGAATAAATTCTAACATTATTGAATTTTCTAATTCTGTTTTAAATATTTTGAAAAGATAGAAAATTCGGCAAACGTCTGGTTATTGCTAAGTAGGCTGAGAGATTTAGTTTCTTTTCATATGGAGTGAAATTGTCATTATTTCGAAATTATGAAAATATGTAAATGAATACATTGAAGAGTCATGGTTTTTAGATGATCATTTTATTTCATCAAGTATCACAAATGTAACATGAAAAACATACATAAAATTTTAATGTCCATTAGATAAATGCACACACAACACAATTACACTCAGTAACCCTCAATACGATTACTGTGTTTGGCAACATGATACTTACACAACATCAACACACTTAGTCACACACTGACAGCATATTTTACTAACATTTTGTTGGATACAACGTCACACTTAGTCACACACTGACAGCATATTTTACTAACATTTTGTTGGATACAACGTCACACTTAGTCACACACTGACAGCATATTTTACTAACATTTTGTTGGATACAACGTCACACTTAGTCACACACTGACAGCATATTTTAATAACATTAACATGAAAAAACATTTAGTAAACAATGATAACACTACTTGACTATGCAAATTATAAAACATATGGTTGACTAATTCACGCATCATTCACTTTCTTTCTAGGCATAATTTCCTTCCATTTCACCCTTCGTTCTCTACTTCTAAGACCAGTTCAACCATACTCGCACTGAGATTGCTCTGTATATACGTTCTGAAATGCATTATTACACACATTTATAACTGGCACATAAGTATTTTAATGTTCATTTGTAATAACACTAAGACGTTGCTACTTTATTTTGTGTCTTTGGCCTTGCATTTCGTCTGTAATATAACACCTGACATGTTAGTATCGTATTCAGTACGATAACCTGTAAAAATGTCAGGATCATCATCCAGTCTTTTGTTATCACTATTGATGTTGTCAATCGCCCACAGCTATGGACTATACACAGAAACGTTGAAGCAGCTGATAATTGTCCCGAGCTTTTGTTTTTATGGTTTGTGTATATTTGTATGACCTGAAAAAATCAATATAATAGAAGTTATGATTTACTTATATCTACGAGATGGATATTGTTATTGAACAGATTTCATCTATACAACAAGATAAAAGATTATTGTGTGACATCACATTGACTAAATATTGCAATTTCATTCAAAATTAAGCTTGATTTATTCATGAAGTAATGCTTGTATCTTGAACAGCTTTAATGTGTTTAAACCCAGCACAGAGTCACAGATCCTTCATATCAAATCTCAGTACACCTTTAGATCTATTGCAACAGAGAAATCCTTATTTGAGATTTCAAGGAAGGTAGAGGCTATTGAATTCTCATAATGAAATATGAAAAATGATATGTCAGATCTTATAATAACAAATATCTGGAAATAAACTGAAGGAATCCGGTACAAGTTTTTAAAAAATCTAGTATATTAATCTTACCCGACTTGCACCAATAGCTGGTAGGCCAACGATATTGATGAAAAATAAAATGTCACTGGGAATGACAGGCAATATGAGGACGATCATCACAACGATATAGAAAATCATAAAGGAGAGAGACGCCAGAGGGCGCTGGTTGTAACGCAGGAGAAGGCAAACCAGTATCACATTTTGCAGCATGAACACAAGGTTCTCTCCCCAGGAACTAAAACAAAATCACAAAATTTCAGAAAATTATATACTCGTATGGCAGGCGGGGAAAGGTATATCAGAATAGATTGTATGCTACTTCTAAGCAGTCATTACAAGTAATTTTTCAACATTTTGAAGGAAAGTTAATTTTGACATTTGCGACTTCCAATTAAAAATATTAAATGTCTGAGTGTGAAGAAGAATACAACTCACTTAATTGGGTATTCCTTCGACAAGGAGTAAGCTACACTTGAGGATGACGATTCCAACATCAACAACATACTGAGAAAGCTCACTCCAGAAGCATTCCGACGACGAAGTATTTTGAAAATCTGAGGAATTTGACCTGAAATTACAGAAATAAAAAGATATGTTCTTTGTAATATTCAATTTGTTGCCAACTATATATTTGCCCACCCTAAAAAAGTAAAAGTTTAGATATCTATCAAAAAAGTTTTAAGGTATAAGCTTCTTACACTGTATACTTACTGATTGTGGCGCTGCCGATGAGGAAATATCCCAGCACCTTCGTGAAGACGATAAACCAGCAGGTACCTGAAATTGTATCATTTGGTTTTATATATTGTGTTTGCCGCAATCAGTTTTAATGAGATTATTGATTTTTTTGGGGGAAAATTATCGGAACCCACCTGACGCGATATGTATTAATATGATTACCTACATATGTGAGAAAAAACCTCCATATTGACCAACAATTCATCAGTTCCTATTAATTTTTTTTATAGTAGTTATCTTTAAAAAGTTTTAGCTTGATCGTTTGTTACAGGTGGAGATCAAAATGGCTCTGATAGGCATTTGTTTGGCCTCCCGCATACAATTCTGTGAGGTAGTTATAACCAATTATAAAGAAACGCAGATCCAAATCAGAACGAAATCACCCCGTTATGGAATTATGCTTACAACGTCAGGTTTATTGACCAACGGATTTGATTTTCGAACGGATCAATACTGATGGTTAACGTTTACGTCATTTCGAGTTATCCAATCAGTATCTCTCGTTATTGCTAATTCTAGTTTAAACAAATAGGTTGTTTTTGTTTAGTGTATACATATATTAAGTACACTAAAGGCATAGATCACCTACTTATCAGAACGGTCACGTGATCCATGCCACGTAGGTTTACACCGGAAGTCAGAGTAGGTTCTTCCTTGTACATTTATGATACTTAATCAACTTGACATCGGTATTTTATTGTCGATAGCAGCACATTTATAAACCCCAAGTACAGATCATGTTGTTCTATATTTTCATTCAAACCTGCAAATCATATACTTTAATAGGTGTTGATAATTTCATTGCTGTTTCATCAAATTTTCCCTCTTTATCATATAGATGACAATCATTGACTGCACATCGTGAACATTTGCTGGATCGCCCCTTAGAAATTTATGAATAAGATAAAAAAAAAATCGTTATAACATTTTGTATACAAAATCCATCTGAATGCTCAATGTATCTCGATGTTTGTATTCAATTAGTATTTACCTTGCATTGATGGTCTTTTCTGTAAAATCTCACGGTAACACAATTCTGGTGTCTCGACATATCCCATTGACTTAAGTGTTGTCCCACTGTCGAAGACGTTCATTATAGCTGTGTATTGCAAGACTAAGAATGTTTAAAGTTGAATGGTCAAGTGTTGTATATAGAATAATTTGTAATACTAATAACAAGTTCTGTGCGTGGTATATATACACAACTGATATCAGATGGATGAGGTGATCATTGTACACAAATTATCAGTCTGTGTTGTTATCTAGTATACACAAGGCTGTCTGGAACAAGAGACACAGCTTCATCAGCTTAATTACATCTCCTAGTAACAATCTACAACATTAATGGTTCATTATCAGGAAAAATTAACTTATTATTGGAACATGTCACTAATCATGAAGCCCATTTTTTATATATAGATAAATTTGCTGTATAGCTCTTTCTAATTGGCATGGTTGATTAGTTGAAGGTATTGAAGAGATGAAGAGTCTTAATGTACCCGTTTGACCATCCCATAAGCTTCATACATGATACATATGTATAATTGAACTGACTCAGACACTTGGACATATGGATATCATTCGTCAGACGATAGTCAAAATCAACACATCATGTGTCCAGTTTGTGTGATATGTATAGTGAAAAAGGATGGGTTTATGTTAATAGCAGGATGTTTACAGTCTAAAGTAGTCTAATAAACACATCAACAATGTTGTTATTTATTGATTTCATAATGATAAATAAGGTGACGGTGAATGTCATACGGAGGTACAAAGTTAATCACTCCTTGATATATTACTGGTATATTTTTCATTAAGATATGTGTAAACTCTGATGTTCTTCAACGAACCATAATTACATTAATTACTTTTTATGAGAAGGTCTTTACATTATCAATATAACATGTTGTCAGTACGACATTATCATCCTTCCATCACCTCCATTTGTTATACTTCAATCACTTAGCATTATTTCTGATACGAATGGAATACAGTTTTGCAAAAGGTAAGTGTTCAACAGAATTCAAATTAACTTCAGCATAAGGTAAGTGTTCTACAGAATTCAAACATTATTTGAGCAAGACATTCAATCGAGTAACAAACAAAAATAGAACCTGTAGTTAAAGCCTAAAGCTGTCGGAGACATAAAAACCTAAGACCAGTTGTTCCAAAGTTAATTCTTCGGTTCAAAGACTAGGTCATCCGGACCTGAAGAATTGTATTGAAAAAATAATCTCTCCTTCTGCATACAGTTCTATAAAAAATATGCAGATATAGTGATTGAAAATAACTATTCTCAAATAGTGACTTACAAAATCAAAATTATTTAAATGCCTCCACAAGCAGTCGAACAAGAGAAATTTGCCTTCCAAGTCCTACGCTCTACCAAATGGTCTAAGATAAATTCCTCGTAGACAAGACGATTGGAAGATGCTAGCGATTTTAATTGGACAAACGTGAATTACTACCTCTGAAATAACTCTCTGGGCCTGTGGACCCATGGACACTTATAAAACCATGACTTGAGATTTTGCTCTGAATGACGTCAGTGTTTGCAATCTGAGAATCAACAGACGAATGAGATGCGTTATTCTGACCGTGATATCCTGATAATCGATTGACTGAATTACCCGATCATGAAGAACGATATGAACTATTAAAAGTTAATATGTAAGATTAAATTATTCAAAATTGTGCTAGACATAAGTCAGATGTTTCATAATAAGGTATCTGCCTGTGTTAATTTAGTACTGACATCTACTGTGAACAATTATGTATTGACCAGTGGCCAGAGGTATTCTTCGTTACTGATCTACTACAGATGTTCATGTATCAGTTCGCTCCCTGATTATATAAGTCATTACCTGGAGCCTATCTAAGTAGTTTGTGTGATGATGATGGTCAGTGTAACTTTATCTTGTTGTAAACAGCCGAATCTATTGTGCAAGACCTTGTCGACATCTCATGTATACTTCAATCCATGTTTACCTGTTAGCTAATGTGTAATAGTACTTCATAAGGTAATTAACATGGCTAGTGTGAATACGACCAAATTCTAGCCAGTATGTATCGGTTCCTGCAGGCATGTGAGTGTTCCATCTTCCCATAGTCTACATCTCAGTAAACCTTCAACACCCGAACAGCGTTTGGACTTTTTCATCTCCACTCATCACCACACAAGAACAATGTATCATTTTAGATACCAACCACTCAAAGTAGCCTCAAATGGATAAGCATCCCATCGTTTGAAAAAGTGTTTTTAATTGAAACGTAAACATATGAATGTCGGGTTAATGTTAATTAAAACACCAGATTTCATTTATCAATATATTGTTCAATGTAATTTGAAAAACAAGAAAACATAAAAAATAAGATAAAAATAAGTTTTTTTGCCAGCACGATATATACCCAACTGCAAGTTTACGAACTGGTTGATACGCCGCTGAGAAGCATATTGGGGGTAGTAACATGGATGAGACTATTCCGGGCACGTGGTCACAAGGTCGCATATATGTTATTTAATAAAAATGACTGTACCAGCCTTTGCACCATATATGTAACGATCAGTCATACCATGTGTGCATATATGTCTGACTTTACTTAATGAAACTAGAACATATCGCATGTGTGACTCGCTTGTACATTATACACAAATCATCACCCTGTTAACGCTGACCCTGACCCTGACAGTGAAATGCATTGAGGGGAATATGTAACAACTATAATCCTTATTAAAGATATCTCACCATTTTACATACCGGTTTATGAATTGACCATATACAGTACAGTACATACATAATCAGAACAAAATGCATTATATAATTCTGCTTTAAAGAGCTATAAAAATATCATATATCAAAGAAAGATATTGTACTTTGTGCTTATTGATAGACATAAGAAGACGGGTGCCAGGATGAACTGATTAGGTTGGATATTAAAAAGGGACACCTGAGTATGATCAATCTGTTGTGCAGAAACAGCATATTTGAAGTGTAGCTGATTTGACCAAGTACCCTAGTGGATTAGCAGACTTTTGCTGGCTAAATAAAATGTGAATGAAATCAATTCTCGTTATGTAACATTCGTCCGTGTTGAATTGTTAAAAAGACACACCTTTACTGAAATCAACTTCCTTTAATAGGTATGTGCCTAGCATTCGTCTTTTAAGTGTTTCATAGACACACCTTTACTGAAATCATCTCAGGATATTTATCAAATACAGAAAAGAAAATTACCCGGTGGTTTTGCTAGCAGAAGTAATGACATAATGGCAATCTGAAGAGTTGTATCTGACGGTCCTTCCGATCTGGTGTTAAGTCGTATCATATGATGATCTGTTGTTAAGTCGTATCATATGATGTAAGGACGATCTGAAGTCTCTCCATCATAAAACAACATTGTAATCGCCAAGTTGATGTTGTGGCATTTGACAGGTCTCTGGTCAAATAACGAGTTGTATACGACCATGCACGGTGACTCTCTGGAACAAGCCCAATCTTGAACAATTTACCTGATAGGTTGTCTCTTTATTAGCCGTCCATCACCAAATGCTTTATGCTAAACAGGTATTACTTTATTTTCAGTGCACTAAAGCGGACCATCGGCTGATATTGTTTTGTATATGCGTGTACACTATACGGTAATCCCTTATTAATTTCTCGTTCTTCTCTTTCCTTCTTTGTGATGCTCATTAGTATGCCTGTCGGTTCCATTGTCGTGACATGACTTATTTCGATTGACCAAGGTTTGCATGGCGGATGTCGTCGATGAAGCAGAAGACGCTTACTCTTACGGAAGACCTGGTATTTCCTTCTTGTTCCATTTCAGGAGTCTCCGTGTAAATCTTTCTTTTGTTCATATTTTGCCCTAGTTTGATTGAATTCGGGATTGAATTATGTTGATATGTTTGTGTATTCTTGTTGTAATATTCCGATTTCTCAAAATCAAAATTATGAAATATTGCATTACAGGATAATTACCTCTTAATTACGACATATCTATCGAAAAAAGGGAAATATATTTCGTCACCCCCTATTTTTTATCGACGTAGTATCAATGACGAATCCTAGAAGGCCCAATAGCTGCATGATGCAGTTTCATTTACTTTATCTCTCGACTGTTAAGAAATGTTCTTATGAAGTGTACGTGTTTTCAGAAATCTTTTCAGGCTACAGTGCATGTGAAGATGAGTTGTTATGTATAATTTTCCCAGATTCCTTTTTCGTACCAAATGCATTTCCCATAAACCTCACACATTGTGTTCACAAAGAAGATATTAGGACCTAGTTATTCAAAGCTTGGTAAAGTTAATCAGTGGTTAATGAAACATTTGAATTGTTACCATTGGAAAAAGTACTTCTAAAACGAAATCGGAACTCAAAAATATTAATCTGAACTGTATCAACAAATCAATAGCTTCGGAATGAAAAAGGATGTCCCTATTTTTGTTTAACAAATATTTTTTTATAATTATACTATCACTGGTTAATTCTAACAAAGCTTTGAGCAACGGGGACCAGACAGATAAAGCTGTTACAGGAAGCAGGTTACAAATAACTAGAAGTGATAAATTAGTAAAATAAAACCTGATTTAGAAATAAAATTATGACTAGTTTAAAGCCTGCATGTGTATGGGCTGTTGATGTAATTCATGAGTATCAATCGATTAGATGCTAGACTGCGATATCTGTCCATGTATACATACCTACACTTCAGACAGGCAAACTGATAATCAAATCTCACGCCGTGGCAAAGTATATTGGATTACCTTATTAGGGTCATTATCTGTGACACTATTTATTTGACCTCCATGCAAGGCTGTTTGCACGACAAAAGCTTTCAAGGTTGTCTCAACCCTAGACTTTATCATACCGAATTTCTGCACCGGATTAAAATTCTAGATATATTCCCTGTAGCATAATTCTGTTGCATGATATGCCTTGATGATGGTACAAAAGACACACAAGTGAATAGAATCATTAACTTCAATTTTAGATCAGATAGAAAAGAGCAGATCAAATAATTTCGTCCTTTTAGGACCAGCCTAAATCTTGAAGACCACGAGGCATTAATGAGACTGTGAGAACATTCAAAGTGATCGACAGAAAAGTGCAGATGGGGAAGTGTCCTAGCCCCATACTTCGTCAGCTATCTTAATTTTCTTATATCATATCTTTTTAGAACAACATGAAGTACTTATATTGAACCGTGCCACTATTTCAATGATGATAACTCGCACGTTCATCATTATACCAATCGTGCTTTGTTTCAGGACGGTTGTAAATGTGTAGTAGAATTGGTCATCTTGTACTGCGTGCGTACATTCATATTGATATTTTTAGTTCCCCTAATTCCCGATAGAATAATTAATTTTCTATTGATGTCAGCAGCCGGAGTGATATATAACGGTTATAACACGTGATGTCTCTGATTTGTTTCATTATCGGTACTTTTTGACGTTGGTGAGGGCAAATCGCGCAGTTCACGTAGGTAATGCTCAATTTTTATGCATTGTACGGGTTATTCAAAGATAATTTCAAATTCTATATTCATAAATTTTGGTTTCTTATGAAAAAAACATGGGAGAGCAGTTGGATAATTTTAAAGACGATTGTAGTCAATTACCAAGTATTCAAATGTAGGACGTATTGTTAGGAAAGATATACACAAATACATACATATCATTAGATCTGCGCTCGCCATATTTCTGTATTACAATATTACAAAGCAAAATCAAGCTGTAAGCTTATATGCATTTTATGTAACCAGATCGAATATTTCAATCACGGCAAATGCTTTTGAAACAGTGTTTGAATGCGAGTTATGCAAATGAGAAGGTCATGTCACTACGGCTGTAAATAGTACAAACTTAATACGGTTGGCACAAACACTATATAACACGTACATCTATTGACTATTTATTTATTATGATTTTTCGTAACATTACTAAACATTACAATAATTATGTATATATAACTACAGACATATACTTTCATGGGGATTTGTATGGTGTTGATATCGATGTAGATATAAATCACAACCTGTAATTAACCACATCTACATCTCGTACTCACAATGTTTAATCTCAGTCAACCTCTAAAGACGTGTCGTTATTCAGAACAGACTTCAAGGTGGTTATATACCAGAAAATATAATCGACGAGGAATTCGACATTGAGTGATGAGATATCTGCATTCAAACTTGAATATATGCACATTATGGTTGTCAAATTCACCCTGCTAGGTGACTACACATTATTCCACAAAGGCATCTCTTTCTAAGCACATTCCAACATAGCCAACTCAAATTTGTTGAAATCATCATCCAAATTAAGGATGAAGGTTATTTCAAAGGTTATCACAGAAAAATATTTTTCAGGATATTCCAGAAATCTGTTTGCCCTGACGAAGTCAGATGAGTTGGCACAGGCAGATACCTGGAGATCGGTTAAATGCGTTTTCACTCTAAGCAATATTTACTCTCTATTAGCCAATAGCGACACGTAAGCCAATGTAATGTCACCCATACATTATTCATTTGGCGTGATTTCAATATGATTTGCCCATGTGACGAAATTATACTAACCAAGCCATGTTTATGATAACAATACACGATAACTCAATACACCAGTACACTTAAACATCATTAGACAGAATTCATTACTGACGTTTACATTTTAGCTGTGGCATTATAACTTCCGTTAAAATTCTAGCTGCAGGATTATAACTTCTGTTAGAAGTTTAGCTGCGGGATTACAACTTCCTTTAACATTCTAGCTGCGGGATTGTAACTTCCGTTAGAAGTTTAGCTTTGGGTGATAACTTCTGTTGTTCCACGATAATATTCAAGGAAGGATCCAGATGACGTCACGTTACAAATTTATCTTTTAGACTAACATTGATCTTGGTATATACATGGGTATCATAGAACCTATTTAACAGGGCACCGGCAACGACTGGATAATTAATAGTATGCATCGGCGTCACCACAGCGGCGATTTAGTGTAAATATTGAATATTCAGGACAACAAGAAAACAACATCAAGATAATACTATTAACAATTATCTCATAAAAATAGTAATAGTATATATAATAGAATATCTGAATACCGTTCTGTATAAAAACTATCGTGATATTTGATGTTTATTGACAGTCTGTTTACATTACGTTGATATGAATAGTCAGGATATGCAATGGAGTTGATAGTATCATTATTATCGCATATGCTTAGTGTATATGTACATCCCGACTCCCACTGACGACATGGCGGACATCAGACCCAAGAACGTCAGGAAACCACCAACACTAGGAGAATGTCGCTCCCAGAATGTAGTCTGAAATGGCCTAGGCTGTATCACCTGGAAGTTTGACAAACATTCAATTATTTCAAACATGTCACCGATACAGATTAAAGAACTAATCTTTGTACATTATCAAGGTTTCTAACATTTTCAATATCTTCCTTTCATAAGTTCACAGGCTGTATATATATATATATTTTTTTTTTAATTTGAGATATCCCAACACGAAAATCTGTCACCAAACCCTTAAATATTTACAATGATGAAATCTTAGTCTTTAACAAAAATTTGGTGTGTGTATATACACATACCTTGTGTTCCGGTTCGGTAACCCAGATCTGGTCTTCACGAATTTTTCCGAGACGATTCAGGATCTAGAATACATGGGATAAGTCTTGGTATAGTATACATATGAACGATAGGTTGCTAACGAAATAACCAATAAGAGGACACAAAGTTATCAAGAGAACACATATCCATGTATCAGCCAATAGGGAAATGTCCCATAAGGTATATCTGATAAATTATGGTGTTTTAGCGTCGCTAAGCTTTGAGAGTTTCTTCCAAAAGAGGAAAAACAGTTTTAATCTAATGTATAATGTTTCCGCCATGACATGTAGATCTATAATACATGTGTGCGGTCTTAACAAACAACAGTAAACTTTGAATCTGAATTAAAGACAGCAGGAGGCAGTCCTTTTTGATGCCGGATACATGTACTCTGTAAACACTGTTTATAAAAAACGTATACGCATTTCAGTAGTAAGGCTTTCATGTATAACATACTATTGTAGGTTATCAAACTAACTTGTACTACAATCGAAGGTTCAACATGTTAAACGTTTGCTGTAGATCAATAACATTCAGTAATATACTAGGAAATATGTTGTATTTATGTAAATGACTTCTGATAATATATAGTATAGGCCCAATAATCAATACGTGTTTTGTTTCTGCATTTGATTTGATGACCATAAATGTAAATCCAAAACAGTTATCGCAGACCGATTCAATCAAGGGGTATTCAAGTTTATATTCCCGTATAATTAAATGGAGATGGAGGAATAGGCTTTTAACAAAAAATGGCTGAAGTAAATGTATGGTCTGTATTTCACCACTAACCACGGTTGTCGTTCCTAGCATACACTTTAGCAAGCACGTGCAAGGAACGACAACTCTTTGTAGAAGTAGACATTTTGATCATAAAAATAACCTCTCTTGCAGATCGTTCCCCAGCCTGTATGGCACCGTCCATATACCCTGACCAAGCTGTGGCAGTTTCTGTCCCGGCAAAATGGATTTTATCAAACGGTCGTCGCATCTCCCTTCACAAACATGTTAAAATCATTTTATTATTAAAAAAAAATATCCGATATGTTTCAGATATCAAATTTGATAGAAGCAACTCTTTATTTCACAACAGCATCAATAAGCATATGTTGATATGAAAATACCTGATCACAATTTGTATTGAATAAACTAATGGTAATCTATCACAAATAATCTTTGTCGAAGAATAGTTTCAGAATAAGTTTGTTATATTTCCTTAATCTTATTAAAACTTAATCTTATAATCATATGATCGAAATGAATGCAAAGTTATTATTCAAAATGTACGAAAAAGGGTTAAAATGCCAAAAAGAACATTGCTTGATATATATTCATAAATATTTCTAAAATATACTTTTCCTGGGAAGATTATCATCTATAAAGAACCACTATACCTGGGAAGGTGGAAGGGATATGAGATTGACCCTAAGTAAAACATATACACATGTATGGACTAAATGGTATTATTTGTATATGTCATCATATTTTGATTTCAGGTACGACGTTGGAATTATATATCAACGTTGCTTACGTTAAAATATCTCAGTTATATCCAAAAGTCAAACGACAATGTTAAATATAATAAAAACATAAACGAAATACAACGTACTGTCCAAATTTGGTGAGGAAACCTGGAGGCATCATGACTGTGTAACATCCTCCGGACCATTGTTCAGCCAGCCAGTTATATTCCTCGTAGTGAATGGGCTAGAAGTAGGCAATTTATCACAATATGTGATGTGTCAATATGCGGACATATCATTGGGATAGAGCTAACATTAGGAATGTGACAATATAACGACATCTTGCGGGGCTGGGAGTTGATGGGGACGGGGTTGAAGTGTAATAAGGACATTACAATAAACAAATATATCACAATATATATTGTTATATCTTGATATTACTTACAATCGTTTCAAACTGCTTACATATCTTACAAGATGAAATGGTTTTACTACGCGACTGCGCTGAATATGATGTGATGTTCTTATATGATTGCAACAAAAGACACACAGGTGAATAGCACATGTCAATACAAATGTAGACGTTGATGCATAATATCCAAATTATGAATTAAGCAGCCTTATACATCTGTTTCGACTTTCTAGGACTAAGAACGTTAATAATGATCAAAATTGGAATAAAACTGCTATTGATACGTTTCTACTTTAATCATTAATTATTTTCAGAAGACATCATATTTACATGCAGTGCCTCGTCTGTCTGGAACACTTTGGAGTACATTTGACATATCCTGAGTTTCCTCTCTTCTGCTGTCAAATTACAGAGCTTTCTGGCTTTATCAGCAAGAACGAACCTGAAACACAAACAAAAACATGTTAAACTTCAGTAACAACAAATTACAGTTTTCTGAATTCATCAACAAGAACGAGCATAGAATATAATTAATTAGAATTAAAAGTATAATCATGCTGTGATTATAATAATGTGATTATGGTGTGATTATGATAATGTTATGGATATATGTCGTTCTGATCTGACAGAAATCCAATTTCATAAAAAGAAAAAAACATTATTATGATCAATTCATAACGTGAATCTATAAACAAAGCCCTATCTTACCCATCATAACAAATATATTTTTCAAAAATATCACAAAGAACTGGAAACTATCCAAACAATATTCCAACCCTCGACATGTTTGTCCTTCACTACACATAAAGGAAAATTTCAAAATATATTCAGGAAATAAAATCGAAATACTAATTAATTCTGATAATTGTTTTATGTCAAACATGACTTACGACATAAGAGCGGGCTTCCCGCCTTCCGGTTTGACGTCATCCAGTGTATAATTAATTATAGATTCCTCGTCATCGATCATCGCTGAACCACAATAACCTGAAACGTATTTATTGGAGGACTTTAAAATCCTTTTGTGGATTTAAATCGGGATAACTAACTATCTGTGGCAGGAATTGAAAAAAATGTTACAGAAAACCATTGGGAAAGATCTAAATGGCATAAGTAAAATTCGACCTTCTTTGTCACACTCGTTTAATTTGAATGCAATTGATATACACTTCCCTAGTGTAGAATGACCAAAATAATAACAATATATCGTTCGCTAATGTGGCATAAATGCGATCTGGTAAATTATCAGGTACCTCCATGTAAGAGGTCATAAGTCAAGAGAGAGCATGACTCGAACGATTGCTTTTAAGGGAACGGGTTCACCGTGAAAAACACATTACACCGACTGTTGCCAGTCATGAATAATAAGAAAATAATAAAAAGAATACTGTTCGACAGCCAAAACCTTTGATTAATATGACGACCGGCATTACCTGCACTGATACATTATAAACAGTTTAAAAGAAAAATCCAGTGTAGGGAAAAACTTTCGACTGTCCTGGCAAATGTTTGATATTTCAGCTGAAATGTAGTATTACATACTTCAAGGCCGAATTCAACAATTGGCGAAAATTTTTTTTGTATCACAGGTCGAAAAACACTGCATACTGTAAGACCATGTGTTCCACAAGGATAAATGCCCTTTTTTACTTATCGAACTAGGATTTATCTGTTTGTCAGTTCGAAGCATTCTTGGTGTAATGCTTTATTCCGCAAAAAGGAATAAATCCTTCTAATCAGCACTCAAAGAATTTTTACCTCGATCCCGCCAGAATGGTTTAGTATAGTAGGTGAAGGTTTTAATCACAGAGCCCATAGGAACTCGCTGTATCATTTGGTTACGAAGGGACGGCAGGGGAGGGTCAAAGGTTATCTTACTTTGTAGTGGTAGTGGCACGGCGCTTATAACATAGGTAGCCTGTAAAGAAAACATATCTTCAATGTTAATCATTAATATGTTGACACTGTTGTCAATTTGTAATAAAGTACGGTATTTCTCGGTATTCTGCTACATTAACAATTACAGTATCTCTCGACCTACTACAATTTCCAAAGACTTATTGTTTTAAGATAAACATGCCATCTTAAATCTACTACGCAGTTCCCATGTTACAGATGCAATATACCTTGCAAAGTGTTTTTTTTTTTTTTTTTTGTTAAAACCATTAAGTTTGAACCATCTAGAAATTTTACAAGATGTGTCTTTCATTTGTACTTAGTCACGATATAAGAAATAAATGATAAATAAATGGGAAAAAATGCCGTTTACTGAATACTCTTGTCTGAATGCATAAAATCAAGGAAGAGATTCGTTTATTTATAATTAAGAGTTTGTGGTTCCGAAAATAACTACGCGGTGTTTTATTGATTCCATTGACATGATTGCTACCATTGTTTTTTTAAGTTTGTGTAATAATCAGATTTCCAGTGCTACCTTCTTATAGCTGGTGTCAGAATAATACGAGAGCATCATAGTAGGTTAGATTTATCGATTTATCAATTATTAATTTCTTCATTCAAACAAACTACTCGAACTGCAGATCAATGCATTTATCAATATATGTGCCTTATTGATAAAAAACACTATACCTGATATGTGTTGCCGTGTACGTCAGTGACCTTCACCATATTTTTCTCTTGTTTTATCAGACAAATTGGTTTCGACAGTAACACTCTATCTGAAATGTGTTAACCAAAATATGGTTTCACGTGAAAATCATAGAAACGCCAACATTGTACGTATCATACATAATAGGGCTAATATTGTTCGATGTAAAATCTTGTGTCGCATATCATAATTCATCAACTATTTCTAAACCCTGTTTATAATCAATTTATAAAATAAAAGGGATCATTTAGTAAATTATTTCGTTATTGAACAGCTGCTTATGGTCTATGATGCTTTAATCGTTTATACAGTTAAATGTCAATTATAACATCGATTGAAGACCCAAAAGGGAAAGAAACCAATTTACTTATACTACAGAAATGAAAACCATGATATGTGTGGTACATACAATTTATTGGGTTGGGCACATGTTATAATAATGATCATGTTACTGCACTCTTTGGACAAATAAAATGCACGTTGTGTGATAGAAAGAATGTTTCTTGAAATCTAGATATTCCGTGATTTTAAATACTGTGTAATGTTAAACTAGGTCAAAGTATGTCAAAATAAGCATAAAGTACCGGAGCTATATAAATTTCGAAATGCAGCCAGAATGAATTTATGCCATACGGACACTTTCCATATAAAACTGAACTATCTACTGTTGTTTCCCTCCAGTTTTAAAACAAAAAGAAATTCAAATAATGTTTTGTGTGTTCTTTTCTGCCACCCTCTGTAACATAATATCTCCCATTTGTGTAAATACCATCGCCCGATTATGTCCATGTACTGATGTGATGTGAATAAACTAAGTTGATGGCATTTGCACAAATGAGCAATTATAGGAAATCTATAGGTCGTAGCAAAAGCAAAAAAATAAGTGTACATACCATTTCCAAGTTTCTTTGCAATGTGTTTGCTAATTTGTTGTGAACCGCCGACGAACTTTCTCTCCTATAAATAGTTTCATTGAAAATATGACCAAAATATAAGGAATAAGTAAACATCAAATATTTTATAATGAAATGTACAAGTATCACCATAAAGACGGGAAGTAACTTTTGATAATGTTATCCTGCTGTTCTGATAGAAACATTTTTACATTTAATGCAACAAATTTAGAATTATTTTGATACGTTTTAATCACAATCACCGAATTATAAAAACAAATTATATATTTTATTACAATCATTACAAATGCAATTACCTGTCCGCCATTGGATGTGGAAAATATACGATGCGTGCCTCCACATTGTCTGACATACCACAGAAACCATAGCAACGAACATTCGTACGGCTCTGACGTCACATTCAGGTTCACAAATCCCGTGGCGAATCTTTTCACAGCACTTTAATAATGCAAACGTTGATTCAGTACAATTGACATGTTTTTACAACTTTACTTGAAATTACATGACCGCATTATTAGGTTATAGAAATTTGCGTAGTTTGGACAATTTGTACAGAGATAGTGTCCTTTCTTTACAACATAATGCATTCTGTCACTGTCTTCAATGCTGTTAGATATACAAAATGACATTATAAAGCTATTATGGACTGTATCCCTTCAGCAGTGATATATTGTTCAAGGAAAAGAAAAAAGTTTATCGTGAATCAATAAACGTGCAGTGTACATATGCGGTCCATTGAATAGAAGGCATTCGTAAAACACTTAAATAGCCAGACTATGTTGGAAGTTGGTTTGGTTTTTGTATTAAATAATTCCTCTATATACATTTCTATATGTGTATCGACCTGCTCGGTCATATTAGTGTTGTATATTCGCTGTATACAGCCAAGCTGTTACTTGTACTAGTTATACAGATATGCAATCACTGTTTTATCCGGTTTTAAACATAATGTCTGTAATTTAATTTTCATAAGGATACACTTATACTCATACTATTAAATGCTTGTAACATTGAAATTTATATATCAAAGGAAGGTTTACAAACTCTTTATACAATAATCCTTATGATATTATGTGTTTTGTATAGAGTTTCAAAAGATGCAGGTTGATGAAAATTATGGAGGAGTTTTGTGATTGCCATAGTGATTTCATTGGAACATTTTTTAAATTTCTTTGTGTTATATGAAGCTGGACTTGTTTGGTACTCCTTAGTTTGCCTGTTGTATGTGTTCTCATTTGCGAACGTGACCTAACTTACTTGGATTGACCACAGTTTAGATGGCGGGTGTCATTAATGAAGCAGAAGACGCTTACTCTTCCGGAACACATGTACTCTTTTTACTTTTCGGGAGTCTCTGTGTAAATATTACTTTTGTTAATATTTTGTCCTGGTTTTTTGAAATTTGAGTTTGGATTATGATTATTACAGTTTGGTATTTTCTTGATTTCTAACATAAATGACTCTCTTGATTTGCAATATATTATACAGGAGTGGAATAGCACCTTGAGGATAGTTACTATGAAATGAAAGTCTGAATGTCTACAGTACTGCATCATACAGGGAGATAGGTAAGGATACGTAACTCACTCAGTCCAGGCGTATCTATTGAGAAATTCTTGGACCGTCATATTGTCCCATTCCTCTGCATGTGGAGCATTCCATGGTGCTGCTTCAGGTATCTACCAGGCATGTATAAATATGGCTTAAGTATTTGACAAATGGAGATGGAACCTATGAATCATATTTATACAATGATGTTGTTTCAATGAAAACCATCTGCTATTTATTATTTATTTTAAATTCTTTGTAACCGAATATCATAATCAAAATAGGAAATACATTTCAGATGTCATGAAATGATAGCATTCGGTATTACCTCACTTCCCATCTCATCAATGACTCGAAAGACCTGGAGGAGGTCCAGATGCGCAATAAAACCTCCCATAGGCGGGAAAGAGCTTTTAAATCGTCTGCTGCTTCCCTTAAGAACAGAACACTTGAACTTTACACGCCGATATCAATACATCAAACCGCATCGAAAATAGGGATTTTGTCTGGGTAAATAAGTGGTTATTACAGGTGATATATTGTTATTCTGTTAGATGGATTGGTTCCTGTTGATACTTGTACTTGATTGGTCAGTATGAATAGCAACGTAAAATAACGACACTAAAAAAGATTTACATTAATTTTCTGTATAAGCACCGACAACGTGTACTACAGCATTGGAATAGATATCAATATATAGGTTGGATGAGGGTTCCGGACAAATGTATAAGCATCATATATATAAATAGAATGTTTCCGTTAAATAACAATAAACGATGTAAGCACAAATCATATGGTGATGATAAACCCACCTTTCTGTAGATAACCAGATCCTCCACTTCATTTGTAAGGTAAGTCTTCACTCCAAACTCATCCGCCATACGTAACAGCAGGTTCTGAGTAGGACCCACATAGGCCCCACCAACGTCCACGTAATTGATGACGTCATTCTAAAACAAATTTTAGAAGAATGCATTGTTAACAAGTTTTAACTATGGGTAATGGCTGAAACATAGCATACAGTTTATTTTTTTCTTCAAGGCCTGTCTGAGATGATTGTTAAGCAGCTTGTGATGAGTAAGACAATTTATGTAGAAATAAAAAAAATGGATTGTTTGAAATACACTCATGTGTTCATATATTTTCAAAGTTAAAAGGCCAACAGCTTATCAGAATGGCTACATTACATGCTTTATCCGTATCGGAAGAAGGAATAATATGCTGCGATTGTATTGTATCTATACGTGTGACAAGTGACAATTATCACTGTCGTAGGAAACTTACTATCTAGTCAGTTTACCATGAAACATACCTTCAAACACCAACCACAGTGATTTCTAATATTGCCTCATTAATTGACAGAAACAGGTAATCATCCAAATTATGAAAAACAAGAATCGCTTTGTTTTCGAAGAGTGCTTCTCTCAAATTGATTTCAAAGTCAATGGTTTCTTAGATAAATCCTTATAGATATTGGTGTAAAACATACGTGTGTACTAGATGTTCTTTTGGGGTAAAATATGGTATATGGGACAGGTAGATTACTATTTAAAAGACATCATCTGTCGAATAATCGGTTAGGGAATTCCGCCACGTGAACTTCTTCATGGTCAACACTAAAAATATTTTACATTTCAAAGCTGTATGATGCTTATATCACTGACGAGTTCTAGAAGGACAAAACGGGTAAATGATCATCATTTGACTATTCTGTGTCTAGTTTGCGATTGAATTTACGAACGTGGCCTTTACATAATATTTAGAAAAAGATAAGTACATGTTCTATCAGTGTCACAGTTTGATCTGAGCTTCTACCATACGTATCTAGATGTTAACTCGGCGACATATTATGGAGAACATATAGAGTGGAAAAGATTGTACAAAACACACACAAGTGAAAAAGCACCTTTCATTACAAATTAAGAGTTAGATACAGTAGAGCCAAAAGAGAATTAAACTGTATCATACAGCTGTTTCGCCCTTCTAGGACTCGCCAGTGACGCTAAGGGCCTAATGTCTTAAGACCGGAAGGCGACTAAGGAAAATCCAATGTGATCGAATGAAATGTCGACATATACTTGGGGAGGTACACTACAATACCTTTTTGATAATTTTACAAGTACAAAGTATATTTTGAATCGTTCCATCATTCGAATGAGGTAACAGTTGGCAAGGACATTGATCTACATGGTATATTATGGCTAAAATGTCATCAAAATGGACCGTGAGCAAATTTAAACGGATTTCTGATGACCCTAGGTATTCATCAAATATGATTTTCAATTAAAATTCTATTGACATGGCGTTGTTTTTTTTATTATTATTTTTCTTTCTTTTTCAAAATTATTAACATCTTGAGCAAAGCATATGTAACACCACAAAAAAATTCAGTGATAACTTTCAAATGATGACAAACTACTTATGTCAATGTTTAACATTCTTTAAAACAAAAACAAAACAAAGGCAAAAAAGTTAAAAAAAAAAAATGAATAAATACATAAAAAGTATAAAATATTTATGATATCCATTCATAGCCTATGATTACAATTGATATGTATATATCTATACTTCATAAAAGTGTCTATGGAGATGCACATAAACGTCTAGAGTAATCCGATAAGGTCGTTTCAGAAATTGAACAAAAGGTAAACAAGTGAATATCAATGTTTAATACTAATTTAACTAAGAGAAGAGTCAAAGTGCATAATACGGCTATATCGTCCTCCTAGGACTCGTCAGTGATTCTGCACCTCAATCAGAGGTTCACCGAGCACAACATGAATTCGGAATACAGGTTAGGACGTGGCATATCAATCACGACCTGACGACATAAAACAATTTAAAACAGGAAAGAGCTCTAAACCTGCATGAAATATGTGTCAGACACAGACGTTTGCTTAGTGTAATGCCTCGTAGTTATTGATTTCGATGCAGAAACAATTGGAGTATTGTACCGACATGTACTTCACTAATACGACCGAGAGTGGTGCTGATTTCCGCTTCGTAAAGTGATAGAAGACTTTGCCGCATATTTCCGTGACAGGTCAAGAAATTGCAGCTAAACGTACCGCTATAAACAATTAATCTACATTCCATAAACAACAACACATTGAAAGTAAACGTTCCATGATGAAAGTTATAAACACTACTTTACAAATCTAATATTCACAACCATAATATAAACGTTATGGTGTGAACAGTTCTTTGGAATTATTTCACATATCAAAACATAATAACAATACCAATGACTGATTTAATGTAGGGCAATCAATTCTGAATGATAAATTAGACATGTATGATCATTCCATAATAGTGAATTAAATAGATGTACATTTCATCTAGTATTTCCTAGATAATTATTGGTGATTCGTCTATTCTAAATCACGGCCAATTTCCGCATGACAATTTCAGTAGCTATAATGATTTCAAAAGAAGGACAGTTTGTCCAGTTTCAGCTAACGTCGTGTTCCCGATTTGTCTTTAATTAAGTGGGTTTGATTCTTGGTGCATCATGTCTTTTATTATTATTTACCATTAATCTCCCGACGTTGGAACAGAATAAGAAGGGAGGCCATACGTATGATATACTTACATGTTTGGTGTACGTCCTTCCGCCAACACGGTCCCTGGCTTCAAGCACCAACACGTCAAGTCCCTGTTCATGCAGCAGTTTGGCAGCCGCTAGACCTACAATTTGATTACAGGTGATTTACAATTTACTACATAGCGTAATTTACACAAATGATGTGCAATTTTCTTGGAACAGTGTGTGCAAAACCACAACTAAGATAAATGATTGTAGGGTCAGGCTACAACGGTACATGGCTGTAGAGACAGTTTACAACTGTACATGGCTGTAGAGACAGGTAACAACGGTACAGAGCTTTAGGACAGGTTACAGCTATACATAGCTGTAGAGACAGGTAACAACGGCACATGGCTGTAGGGACAGGTTGCAACTCTACCTGGCTGTAGGGATAGTTTACAACTGTAAATGGCTATAGGGACATGTTACAACGGTACATAGCTGTAGAGACAGGTAACAACGGTACATAGCTGTAGAGACAGGTAACAACGGTACATGGCTGTAGGGACAGGTTGCAACTGTAAATGACTGTGGGGACAGGTTACAAATGTACATGGCTGTAGGGACAGGTTGCAACTGTAAATGACTGTGGGGACAGGTTACAAATGTACATGGCTGTAGGGACAGGTTACAACGGTATATGGCTGTTGGGACAGGTTACAACTGCACATGGCTGTTGGAACAGGTGACAACTGTACATAGCTGTAGGGACAGGTTACAACTGTACATGGCTATAAGGACAGGTTACAACGGTATATGGCTGTAGGGCGGGTTACAACTGTACATGACTGTAGGGACAGGTTGCAACGGTACATGGCTATAATAGGGACAGGTTACAACTGTACATGCCTGTAGGGACAGGTTACAACGGTACATGGCTATAGGGAAAGGTTACAACTGTACATGGCTGTTGGGACAGGTTACAACTGTACATGCCTGTAGGGACAGGTTATAACTGTACATGGCTATAGGGACAGGTTACAACGGTATATGGCTGTAGGGCGGGTTACAACTGTACATGCCTGTAGGGACAGGTTACACCGGTACATGGCTGTAATAGGGACAGGTTACAACGGTACATGGCTGTAATAGGGACAGGTTACAATTGTACATGCCTGTAGGGACAGGATACAACTGTACATGGCTATAGAGACAGGTTACAACGGTATATGGCTGTAGGGCGGGTTACAACTGTACATGACTGTAGGGACAGGTTACAACGGTACATGGCTGTAATAGGGACAGGTTACAACTGTACATGGCTGTAGGGACAGGTTACAACTGTAAATGCCTGTAGCGAAAGGTTACAACGGTACATGGCTATAGGGACAGGTTACAACTGTACCTGGCTGTAGGGACAAGTTACAACTGTACATAGCTGTTGGGACGGACAGGTTACAACGGTACATGGCTAAAGGGACAGGTTACAACGGTACATGGCTGTAGGGACAGTTTACAACTGTACATGCCTGTAAGGACAGGTAACAACGACACATGGCTGTAGGGACAGGTTGCAACTGTACCTGGCTGTAGGTACAGGTTACAACTGTACATGGCTGTTGGGACAGGTTACAACTGTACATAGCTGTAGGGACAGGTTACAACTGTACATGGTTGTAGGGACAGGTTACAACTGCACATGGCTGTTGGGACAGGTTACAACTATACATAGCTGTAGGGACAGGTTACAACTGTACATGGCTATCAGGACAGTTTACAACGGTATATGGCTGTAGGTACAGGTTACAACTGTACATGCCTGTAGGGACAGGTTAAAACGGTACATGGCTATAGGGATAGGTAACAACTGTACATGGCTGTTGGGACAGGTTACAACTATACATAGCTGTAGGGACAGGTTACAACTGTAGATGGCTATAGGGACAGGTTACAACGGTATATGGCTGTAGGGTGGGTTACAACTGTACATGACTGTAGGGACAGGTTACAACGGTACATGGCTGTAATAGGGACAGGTTACAACTGTACATGCCTGTAGGGACAGGTTAAAACGGTACATGGCTATAGGGACAGGTAACAACTGTACATGGCTGTTGGGACAGGTTACAACTATACATAGCTGTAGGGACAGGTTACAACTGTAGATGGCTATAGGGACAGGTTACAACGGTATATGGCTGTAGGTACAGGTTACAACTGTACATGCCTGTAGGGACAGGTAACAACGGCACATGGCTGTTGGGACAGGTTACAACTGTACATAGCTGTAGGGACAGGTTACAACTTACATGGCTATAAGGACATGTTACAACGGTATATGGCTGTAGGGCGGGTTACAACTGTACATGACTGTAGGGACAGGTTACAACTGTACATGGTTGTAGGGACAGGTTACAACTGCACATGGCTGTTGGGACAGGTTACAACTATACATAGCTGTAGGGACAGGTTACAACTGTACATGGCTATCAGGACAGCTTACAACGGTATATGGCTGTAGGGCGGGTTACAACTGTACATGACTGTAGGGACAGGTTACAACGGTACATGGCTGTAATAGGGACAGGTTACAACTGTACATGGCTGTAGGGACAGGTTACAACTGTAAATGCCTGTAGCGAAAGGTTACAACGGTACATGGCTACAGGGACAGGTTACAACTGTACCTGGCTGTAGGGACAAGTTACAACTGTACATAGCTGTTGGGACAGGTTACAACGGTACATGGCTAAAGGGACAGGTTGCAACTGTACATGGCTGTAGGGACAGTTTACAACTGTACATGCCTGTAAGGACAGGTAACAACGACACATGGCTGTAGGGACAGGTTGCAACTGTACCTGGCTGTAGGTACAGGTTACAACTGTACATGGCTGTTGGGACAGGTTACAACTGTACATAGCTGTAGGGACAGGTTACAACTGTACATGGTTGTAGGGACAGGTTACAACTGCACATGGCTGTTGGGACAGGTTACAACTATACATAGCTGTAGGGACAGGTTACAACTGTACATGGCTATCAGGACAGTTTACAACTATACATAGCTGTAGGGACAGGTTACAACTGTACATGGCTATCAGGACAGTTTACAACGGTACATGGCTATAATAGGGACAGGTTACAACTGTACATGCCTGTAGGGACAGGTTAAAACGATACATGGCTATAGGGATAGGTAACAACTGTACATGGCTGTTGGGACAAGTTACAACTATACATAGCTGTAGGGACAGGTTACAACTGTAGATGGCTATAGGGACAGGTTACAACGGTATATGGCTGTAGGGTGGGTTACAACTGTACATGACTGTAGGGACAGGTTACAACGGTACATGGCTGTAATAGGGACAGGTTACAACTGTACATGCCTGTAGGGACAGGTTAAAACGGTACATGGCTATAGGGACAGGTAACAACTGTACATGGCTGTTGGGACAGGTTACAACTATACATAGCTGTAGGGACAGGTTACAACTGTAGATGGCTATAGGGACAGGTTACAACGGTATATGGCTGTAGGTACAGGTTACAACTGTACATGCCTGTAGGGACAGGTAACAACGGCACATGGCTGTTGGGACAGGTTACAACTGTACATAGCTGTAGGGACAGGTTACAACTGTACATGGCTATAAGGACATGTTACAACGGTATATGGCTGTAGGGCGGGTTACAACTGTACATGACTGTAGGGACAGGTTACAACTGTACATGGCTGTAAGGACAGGTTGCAACTGTACATGGCTGTTGGGACAGGTTACAACTGTACATAGCTGTAGGGACAGGTTACAACTGTACATGGTTGTAGGGACAGGTTACAACTGCACATGGCTGTTGGGACAGGTAACAACTATACATAGATGTAGGGACAGGTTACAACTGTACATGGCTATCAGGACAGTTTACAACGGTATATGGCTGTAGGGCGGGTTACAACTGTACATGACTGTAGGGACATGTTACAACGGTACATGGCTGTAATAGGGACAGGTTACAACTGTACAAGCCTGTAGGGACAGGTTAAAACGGTACATGGCTATAGGGATAGGTAACAACTGTACATGGCAGTTGGGACAGGTTACAACTATACATAGCTGTAGGGACAGGTTACAACTGTAGATGGCTATAGGGACAGGTTACAACGGTATATGGCTGTAGGGTGGGTTACAAGTGTACATGACTGTAGGGACAGGTTACAACGGTACATGGCTGTAATAGGGACAGGTTACAACTGTACATGCCTGTAGGGACAGGTTACAACTGTACATGCCTGTAGGGACAGGTAACAACGGCACATGGCTGTTGGGACAGGTTACAACTGTACATAGCTGTAGGGACAGGTTACAACTGTACATGGCTATAAGGACATGTTACAACGGTATATGGCTGTAGGGCGGGTTACAACTGTACATGACTGTAGGGACAGGTTACAACTGTACATGGCTGTAAGGACAGGTTGCAACTGTACATGGCTGAAGGGACAGGTTACGACTGTACTAGGCTGGGGGGGGCAGGTTACAACTGTACATGGCAGTAGTAGAGACACATTACGTACTGTTCGAGACCATGTTTTATATTCTCTCTCGTGGCACTGTAATGCTGATAACACATAAGTCTGCTACACTGATTACTTTATCTGTACATGACTAAATACAATGTATAGAAATGATACAATGTTCATCTTATCACTACAAGACTAAATACAATGTAATTGATACACTGTTCATCTTATCACTACAAGACTAAATACAATGTAATTGATACACTGTTCATCTTATCAGTACAAGACTAAATACGCTGTATTCGAGAAAGAAATTGTGAAGAAAAAACAGGAAGCACTTTGTACAAGTGTGAACAAAATAAGAAATGATGTCAGTTATTGTCATTACATAATCGATATTTGGATTAATGTCCGACAGTCCAGGCGTGGATGTATTCAGACAGTTACAGTTGTATTGATGTAATCCTTACAAGCATTGATGAAGTCGACATCACCATTCCAGTAGGAAATGCTTTAATATTAACAATACGAGACAGACAATTTCCTGTTACTGAAAGCCTCGCCAACTTACCAGCATACAAACGTCAATAACACTGACCAGTTTTCTTAATCAACATGTGGTTTGAAAACAGTACA